TTACAAATAGTTCAGTCCCCTTTTTAGCACCTATGTATCCCCTTTCAAGGGCCTTATCACAACCATACGGATTGGGTGAACGTCGACTATATTTGAGTCGTAATAGGTGGGAACGTTGACCATATATGGCCTATGATGAATTTGAACATCGATTACATATTGACCAGGGTTGGTGTGTACAATACTTGGAAACAAACAAGTGGAGATTTTAACCTGATGGTATACATGAACTCCCTCACCTTTCGTTCCGATACAACTACAATTTTAATGGCATGGCAGTATCCTTTTGTCCTTTTATAGCGTGAAAAATTCCTTCCTGGTGCCTAACACCTTTTATACCTTCTTATATGGTCACTGGTTTGGAGTCCAAAGGTTTTTCTTTAATAAATAAGAGAATGCTCAGTATTTGTAATTCGGATATAGTCTTTCAAATCTACGCCACATGTTTCAAGATCCTAAAGCTAGCCAGTATTGAACTGTTTTTTGGTTAAACTTTAACCATATTAGCAATCCTTAACATATATTTATACTTCACTATTGGGTTTCAGCTTTCAGTTTTGTCGCCAGTTTAGCTTTTCAACTTTTACTCCTAACAAATATTGTGATGGTTTATACTAATAGAGTAAGCTTCTTATTAGGCTTTCAGGTTCAGTTCTTCTAATAGGGTGTATGAGTTGTATTTCGTGTGATACATGGTGTTTGTGCTCTAGTGGTCACCCGCGAGTTTCACTTGTGACGGATTGCGTGTTAGATTCTCCATAGCACTGAGTTTGTGTGTTTTTTTCTCTTTTACTCCCAACTTTTAGCGTTATTTTTTATTCCCTCCGTAACCCCCCCACCCACCCGACAAAAAAATCTTAAATAGGTTAATTAAATTATAATTATTTCCTCTAAAAGTGTACGTTTTAACACCGAGCCTGTGTGTTTTTTTTCTCTTTTACTCCCAACTTTTAGTGTTCTTTTTTATTCCCTCCGTAACCCCCCCACCCACATGACAAAAAACATCTTAAATAGGTTAATTAAATTATAACTATTTCATCTAAAACTGTACGTTTGAACACTGAGCCTGTGTGTTTTGTTTTCTCTTTTACTCCCAACTTTTAGTGTTCTTTTTTATTCCCTCAGTACCCCCCCTCCCCCACCCACCCGACAAAAAGCATCTTAAATAGGTTAATTAAATTATAATTGTTTCCTCTAAAAGTGTACGTTTTAATTTTTTTTATATATTCATTCAAAAATAACTGTTTACTATTTTCTTTCTCTTTTTAAAAAATGATTTATTTTGCAAAATATGTACTTCTCTTCTAAATATATTCAAATTATACAATTTTCACCTTTTAATAGCGTTTTAAATTTCGTATATGTATTTCTCTTCTATCCCAAAGCATCAATTCATCCTCTGGCTTTGTTGGAGACATTGAAAATAGACCAAGGCCAGGCTTAGTTCGTACCTGCAGATTGATAAGTGTTGTAGATTTTTTGGTTAAACCATGATATCATGCTCTTGAACAAAAAATTTGCGAACTGCTTTTCAGATTTACGTCATTATTTTGAAAAACTTCTTCATTCTGAATTTTTTATGCTATTTTTCAGGCTTAACCAAAACAAATTCCAAAATGTTAAGGGTTAATTCAGCTTGAATTGATTAATCGTATCTAAAACCAGTGATTAAGTTTCTTTTTGAGTGCAGTTGATGACTTGTGTTGGGCTGCTCAACTGATTGCTAAACTGCTTATCCCGTTCGTCTTCTCAATCGTTCGGCCAGATTCGAGTGTTCATATCAGCATCGTTCCTCTTCACAATCGTTCGGCCCCCTTCATTCATTCAGGTGTTATACCCCTCCATTCTTTTACTTCACATGTTATGCATGCCACTTAAGATTATCCCCTCCTAAACGAAATTGATTAATGTTTGAAAGGACCCTAGAGATGAATGTGGTTGATCATTATCTTCTCCATTTTGAGAAAATAAATGATGAGTCATTCAAAAAGTGGAGGGCATGAGGGGGAGTGGATGATGCCATGTGGACTGGCTTTGTCACTTTGTGCTTTTCACTAGAGTTTGAGGTTAGCCAAATTATTTATTGACATTAAAAGTATGAATGAATATATTATAAATCTAGATGTGGAGTATGATTTTTAAATGTATAAGTGTATCATTATATTTATATTTATATGCAGAAGAAGTCGTTGCATGGGAAGAAAGCAAATAAAAAACAGACGCATCGTCACACACATGGCTCTCAAAGTTTTGCAATTGGTTTTGATAAGTTTGTATGTCTGTGAATCTGTTTATTTTACTCTTTTTGGTTAATATTCAAGTTTAAGATACATTACAAATGAACAAGCTTTTTATGTATTGGTGCAGGAAAGGCAACATGGAAGAGAACCTGGTCCTATTGAGAGGTTTGTTAAAACCCGCGAGAAGAAAGATAAGACATTCCACGAAACCATCACAACACAATTTGTGGTAAAGACATATATATAATTCATTTAGGCATTGTTTAGGTGGAGTATAACCTTTTAAGTGATAACTAATGAATTTTTTTTGTGAGTTAGAAGTCAGCCATTGATATTGTTAAAGAGAAGATAGGATTATGTGAATTTTCAGAGGCAACTAAAAAGGCAGAAGAAATTGCTTATACAAAACTAATGGGTCCTGTACCAGAAAAAGGTAAAGTTGCAGGGCTAGGTCGTGGAGTATATGCGAGAGATTTATGTAAACGTGGCTGTGAGGCTGGATCACGTGCTGTGGTAAAGCTTTCAAAAAAAATGCAAAGAATGGAAGATGAAAATAAAATGATGCGGGATCAAATTGCCGTTCTAATGTCTAAATTTGGCGATCATGGTTTAGTACATGATTCACCGCTGAATGGAGGTAGCTTTCATGAAGTATTGAGACATGATACATCGATAACAAAGAGCGACTATCGTGAAGGATCAAGGAATAACACACTCCGTCCTCATGATTCGATCCATAAACCACCGCTTACGAAAGATGGTTCTCTTGAAGGCTCAATGCCTGGTACACCCACCGATTTTGGTTCAGGACATGTTTCACATTTATCATGTGGTGCCCATTTCAACTCTAATGCTGCAGGTATGGACAAATAGGTCAGTGGTACTTGACGTCATGTAATTATTTTATATTTTAACATTTCCTAATCATATTTTTTAAGATCACCTACAAGAAAGAGATTTAAGTTCATCAAAACAGCTCAACGAAATGGAATGTGGACTGAAAACACAAACAATGACAATGTCGGTAAGTGTTTGTCATGTTTAATTGCCAAATTCAAGTATAATGAAATTTGATCAAAACTTTACATATGGTGGTTCTAATTTATACTTGTCTTTTACACTTGTTGAAGTCATCAAGGAGTAAAAGAGTATATTCTCAAAGAGATGTGGGTGAACATAGGCCTTCACAAGCCTATGTTCCAATGTCTACTGATTCTTTCATGTCTCCTTCTCGACCACCAAAATCGAGTGCTTTTGGACATGATAGTTTTAAAGCGAATTTAGGGTCAAAGAATGCATGTGATTCAACCAAGGGAAACAGTTTAGTACAATAGGAAAAAGAAAAGGTATGTCAGTACTTAAACACAATTTTGTATACTAAAGTATATCAGATTTTTTTTACAAATTATATATGCGCTTTTTGTTATCAGAGTTATTCCATTGGTACGAACAAGCCAACCCAGACATGCAAGGAGCAGAGAACTTTAAAACAGCATAAAACTCTTTTACAAAGAGAGAGGGTTCATGTGAGTTTATTTTTTTCGTACTAATGTGAATTGGAATTCAAAATACTAATCACCATTCTTATCCTAAATTAGACCAGAGATGATTTTACAAAGTTTGTATTTGTTATTTATTATCAGAGTAATTTCACTAAAGCTGTGAACAAGTTAGGAGAAGGTGGATATAGTGCGTTTACTCCCACACGTGATAATGCATGTACTGAGCAGAGAGCTGTAGAAAAACAAAAGATGCTTATAAATCCTGTGAGTTTAACTCTCAAAGTAATATCAATCTTTGCTCTTTAGATTATGAGTCAGATTTTGTACCATGAAGTGTATCACATGTGATATTGTAAAATTTATTTTTGTTATTTATTATCAGAGTGTTTTCGTTGATACGACCAAGGAAGACGGTAATTATAGTACTTGTACTTTTACGCCTCCCAATGCATCCGCTCAAGAAAAAGCTAATGAAAAGGTATGTCAGTACTTAAACACAATTTTGTATACTAAAGTATATCAGATTTTTTTTACAAATTATATATGCGCTTTTTGTTATCAGAGTTATTCCATTAGTACAAACAAGCCAACCCAGACATGCAAGGAGCAGAGAACTTTAAAACAGCATAAAACTCTTTTACAAAGAGAGAGGGTTCATGTGAGTTTATGTTTTTCGTACTAATGTGAATTGGTATTTAAAATATTAATTAATCACCATTCTCATCCTAAATTAGACCAGACATGATTTTACAAAGTTTGTATTTGTTATTTATTTTCAGAGTAATTTCACTAATGCTGTGAACAAGTTAGGAGAAGGTGGATATAGTACGTTTACTCCCACGCGTGATAATGCATGTAGTGAGCGGAGAGCTATAGAAAAACAGAAGACGCTTGGAAATGCAGTGAGTTTAACATCTTTTTCTCCTAAATGGGTCGCATACTCCTTTTATGATTTTTGTTTCAATGTGTTCATGCATCATAACTTGGATGTTTACTACGAAGTACTTTGTTTTCATCTAGTGGAAAATTTTTGCAGTAACCACTAGGTAGTAGTCTAGTACTTAAAAAATTGAAAATAGTTTTTATGTTTGCCAGTAGGTATTAGTATTGACTATTGATAGATTCTTCCAATGTTTGGCAATGTTTCAAGCATTAGTACTGGACATATTTGGTTTTTTCAGAACCGACCGAACTGAATCGGTTTTTCTCGGTTCCGTCGGTTCGGTTATAAAGGGACTTCGGTTTGGTTCGGTCGGTTAATGTGGGTAAATTTTTTTTGGTTAATTCAGTTTTTGGACGAAACCGACTGAACTGAACCGATGCTCTCCCCTATCTCTGCATAATATTTTGATTGAAGCAAAACACTGATGTGTCACCCCCATGGTGACTAGATTCAATCCCAATATGTCTTCCCTTTCTTCATTTCCTTCTTGTGTTGTTGTCTCCTGCAAGCTTGTGTTCTTGGGACCCTTCACCCCCTGGAACAATGGTTTCTCTGGCTTGGGTGCGTCTTTAGGTGTTGCTTTACCTGACGGTTCACCCTTGCTTTCGCCCCTTTGCTTAGCCTCCGGAACTGGCGCCTTAGACACTGCCAATGGCGTGGGAGTGGGTGCTGTTTGGGCTCCGGCATCTCCAAGTGTAGCATTCTGATCAGTCAAGGACGGCTGTTCAAATCTGGTGGTCTGGGCTACTGCCTTAGTCACGGCAGGAAGTTTGCCCTGACCCTTCTTTTTCCGGCTGGTTTCAGGAACACCCTCTGCCACAACTGTCACGGGAATGGCAGTGGGTTTATTGTGGGCTGTCTCCTTACTCCCACCATCAAGATCTGCCCGGCCCGAGAGAGGAGAAGTGGTTGCTGCCACTGGTTTTGGCAAGACAGTAGCACTATCAACAACCTCACTGTCATCACCAGTATAACTGATTTTCATGACTAGATAAAGGCAGTTTTTTTACACTTCTGAGTGGTAAAGAATGGGGAGGTAACCCTTCACTTTTCACTGCACACTAATCCCTAAACCGTTGTTTGTTTTTTGGTGTGTGTCTGTGAGAGAGAGAGAGAGAGTGTGTGTGTGTGTGCAAGATAGCACCTGAAACAGATCCCCAGTTGGCTTCCAAGCTATCAGTTCTGCTACTTGATGCAATTGATTTATCAACTACAGTGACACCACAGAGAAGTGTCTTTTTTGCAATATTCATGGAATTGCTGTCTCTATTCATAGACTTATTATGCTATTGCATTTGAAGATTCAATCGAACCTTTATAAACAATATACATTGACTTGGTTAAAGATTGATGGTGTCATGGAAATCTGTTCTCTTCTACATTCATGTCATGCTCATGAAGATATGCAGCCATTTGAATATCAATTTATTTTCTTGTACGACCAATTATCTCGTGCTCAAATTAAGTTATTGGTGGATACAGTGCTGACACTTTACCCTCAAGAAGTTCAAATGTATCAATCTTTAACAAAGAAAGAACTCAGCATTGCTTACTTAGAGGGAATGGTATGAATTAAAGTTAAATTAGTATCGTTAAGTTTCTTAAATTCTTTATATTTTAGATATAAATGATGTCTATACTTGCAGGCTGCTAGTTTATGTAAGAATAAGGCAGATCAGAAATTGTTAAATATTGTCCTTTGTGACAAGTTAGAGGAAACAACACATGTAAGTCAATTATATATAGATGATGAACTTACTTTGTTTTTTGTTTCTTTGATAACTAATGGTAAAATGAAGATATGTGAATATGGTTTTATACTTTACTTTTCACGATATGACTTTAAGCATCACTTTTACATTAATTTTTACATTATGATGAAAAATTAATACCACAACTGGTTTGAAACGTGTAGGTGCAATGTCAATCAAAGAAGGATAATAGCACGAAAAAAGGGCAATAAGTGGTGGTTCAAGCTTGAAGAGATGGTGTCAACCTAGCTCTACAAATCTTTTTGCACACATTAATTTGTTTCTTCTCTTCAATTTCGATACATTTGAATATATTTATAACTCATGTTTTTAGACACAAAATGTTGGATGATCGACTTATTGTTAGATCGTAGTATTTGAATTCTAATATACTTTTTGTTTTTCGATATAAATCAAAATAAAATTGTGTATATATCATTAAAATAATGGTGTGTGTGTGTGTGTATGGTATTTGCCACACTTATAAGTGCGTGTATAGTTTTTTCATTATTTTTTAAAAAATGATATCTGCGACACTTATATGTGTGGCGTCTTCCCAACACATATAAGTGTTGCAAAATAAAATATTACCCGCACATGTCAAGTGTTGCAAAAATATTCATTAGCCACACTTAATTTAAAGTGCGGCAAAAAATTCCCCACATTTAGGTAGCCGCACTTAGGTCATGTGTGGCAAATCATTTTTTCCACATTTATAAGTGTGGCCAAAAACCATTTTAAGTGCGCCAAAAAGCCTCTTTTCTTGTAGTGATACGTTGAGGTAATGATTTGATTTATAATATAAGGTTATTGAAAAACATTGATTAATCATACTCCCTCCGTCCCAAAATGTAAGCAACTAATTTATAAATAAATTGATTTTTAAAGAGATGGTATTTTACACGTTATTTGAAATGTGGCTTACAATTTGGGATGGAGGGAGTATGAAATATGTCATACTATAAGGTTATTTTAAAATGCATAGAGTTCAATTTTCATTAATGACAAAATTTATATGTTTTATCGTTAACTTTAGGATCGATGTTTTATTTTATTTGATTTTAAAAACACGGTTTTAGGGAAGAAAATTTAAAACTTGAAATATTTATATGGTAGGAGTCATTTTCTCTGTTCTCCTCCATTTGTCACTATTGCTATTACAATTTCTCAAACACTATTACAACAGTTCTGAAAATAATACAATAATTTTTTTCTCTGAAATGGAACTTTCATTTTTATAATACAGTACATTTTTTGTTGCATTGCAATTTTTTTCATGAACTGCACTCTGATTTTTTTTTATAATCTTCTATTATTCATATTGTTTTTTCTAAAACAGAACTACCCAACTTGTGATTTTTTTGATAATTCAGTACAAATATTTTTCCGAAAATAATAAATCAAAAGTTGTGAAAATGGTACAATATTTTTTCTACAAAATGAAACTAAACTGTCATGAACTCTTTAATACCAAGCCATTTGAATAGTAATGGTATGGTAAGATTTATTTAAAAATACCAAACTATCACGGAAGGTGTCCACCCCTAGTTTCATGTATGAATACAACATTACTATAGGAGGGAGAGTAATTTTTCATTTGATTTTCTTAAAATTACAAATTTGGATACTTCATATATTCCAACAGAGGTACTCCTTGAGTGAATTTTGTTTATGAAACTTTGGAATTTGAACAGAATTACTCCCCAACTCATTATTACTTTTGGGGTACTTGACTATTCTTACCCCTTTCATTATTACTCTGTTATATTTAATAATTAAATTTATTTTTAATCAAAAAATAAAATTTACTGATTCTACCAAATAAATAATGTTACAAAAAAGTGAATAAATAGATAATTTAAATTGAATTAAGATAGTATATTCTATGACCAATATGGTTGCACCTTCTAATATCAAACCTTCTATTAGAGAAAAATCTGACCAGAATAGCAAATTAAAAAGTCTAATCTTATAATATTTCAAGTCTCAAAGTAACCACAAATACAAAAAAAGGTAACAACAATCCATATATTCATTCCACAAACTCAGAGTGTACCCACAGCAACCTTTGATCAAAAGCATCCAATAACCTGTGATGCATAATTAAAAGTAAATCACTAGCAATGAACAAATACCTGCACCCACATAACATTTCAATAAAGGATGAAGAATCAGAATTCAACAGAAACCAAAAAAATAGCACTTCGTAGTTGATTTCAAGGAACAATTATTCCCTTCTTTAGCAGAATGAGATGGGATCAAATACAGAGTATTCATAATTGTTACTCCCTCCGTCCCAGAGTATTTGTCTACTTTCATTTTTACACACCATCCAATGCACTTATTTAATCCATTTTATCTTGTAATTTGTATATTAAAAAATTATAGAAATTATATATTAATAATCTATATGTTAAGACAAATCAAACAAGATCACACATGACTATATTTAGGGTTACACATTGAGAGAATTTGATGAGTCAAAGTACTTAGATGAACAGTTCCAAAAGTCAAAAGTGGACGAATATAGCGGGACGGAGGTAGTAGAATATATGCCCAACGCTAGGGGGGGGTGAATAGCGTTTAAAACAAAATCGCAGGAAATTAAAAACGAGAGCGATAAAGTTAAGAGCGTAAGGAAGGAGCACACCAAATTTTATCCTGGTTCACCACAACGTGTGGCTAATCCAGCCTCCCGAGAGACTCTCTTGAGTTACACTAACTCCGTTAAGCTTAAAGGTGCTCAACAAACCGATACAACTTGAGAACTCGAGTCACACGAAGATACCGCACTCCAAGACTTCTCACGAAGGAACGAAAGACTTCCTTCGAGTTTACAACAAGGGAACAACCTTCCTTAAAGTGTATAGAAACACTTAAACACTCAGGAATAAAACTCTCACGAAGAGTATATATGAGTGAACTAGTAAACGCTCAAGAACACGACAATTTCTTCAAGAATTGGCTCTCAAAAAGCGAAGAAAAATAGGAATGCTTATGCAATGAAAGAGTATTGAAATGTTGAAGAATTGTGTGTAAAATGAGAGGATTTGGGTGCCATTTTATAGCCTAAAATGGGATAAACCCGTTGCTAGAATTTCCAATAGGATGAAGACAAATTTTTCAGAGATTCAGGGTGATAGTCGATTGTCTAGCCTTGATAATCGATTATCAAAAGATTCCCTGTCCAAAAATTTAAAATTCTATTCGTTGGAGGACAACAGTAACACTGATAGTCGATTGTCAGGTTGTGTCACTCGACTATCAGGCCTCTTAGAAGTTTCTGGGTTTGAAGTTAAACGCAGACAGTCGAGTGGCAATAAGTGTCAGTCGACTATTGGGTGGTTCTGAACTTAATGCTCAGAATCTGCAGCAGCCAACATTCGATTGACATAAACTGTGAGTCGATTATCAGCTGGCAAAAACCATCCAGCGAGAAACTTAAACCGAAAAGCTGAGGTCCAAAAACGAAGTGTTCCCAAAAGTAAAAACCAAGTTTGAAAAACATTGTATATGGTATAAAATAGTGAAACCAAGACTTGTTTGATAAAAACCAAGTCTTCGAGGTCGTTTGTCACGTGTGTACGGTTTTGACCGTTTTTCATGTGTTAGACCGATTGACCAAGATAGAAAAGTGGTTTTTATAAAATAATTATTTGGGAACCTTTAAATTATGCCCAGAGGTAAAAAGGAGGTTTAAAATTGAAAACCACCGAGTTGGTTCGGACGCTGAAAACCGAACGCCGAACGCCGAATGCCGGACACCGATGCCGAACACCGAACGCCGACCGAGGTGGTTTTTGGTATGGAAGGGTTTTTAAGACATTAAAACTTTATCAAAAAAGTTTATTTTGATGCACAAAAAATGTTTTATGATTTTGTAAAATTATTTTGACTCTTTGAGAACCGAGACTTGAATTGATTGTCGGTTTTGATCACATTAAGACCGACTCGACTAAGTCTTCAATTCTTGATCTTTGTCCTTAAGTATTTTGGTCTTGTTCCATGCCATTCTTCACGCCTCGAGTTGTTCAATGAAACTCTTCATATCCACGGCGGTTTAGCAATTATCAAAACCTGCCAGAAATGAACACGACTTTAGTTTAACGTAATAAAAAGTGTGTTCCAACAATTCCCCCCTTTTTGATAATGGCAAACAAGACGGGGATATGCATAGGGTTTTGATCTTTTTGAAAGAAATTCCCCCTTAATAAAAATTTCCCCGTAAGATATACATAGCCCTTATCTTCCCCCTTTTGACATTAACAAAAAGATTTAAAAACCATAAAGATTTTTAATTTATTAAAATAAGGGAAATAGCAGGGTACATAACGGAAGCAAATTTGAAAAAGCATAAAAATAAATAAGGAAGAGAAGAGAAAAGAGCTAGAGCTCTAGAAATCCGGTGAAAGATCATCGAGGAGTTGTTCTTCGTCGATGTCTTCCTCTTCCTCTTCATCATCATCATCATCATCATCATCATCTTCTTCTTCTTCTTCTTCTTCGGCTTCCTCTTCCTCTTCTTCCTCATTGTTCACTTCTTCTTCTCCACCAACATTGTTAGTCCCGCTTGGTTCACCCCCGAGATTCGGTGGAGGAGCGTAGGGGACCATTTGAGCGTAAGGGTAGTTGAAAAAGTCAAAATACCCGTGGAGCTCACGACTTAAAATGTTGACGTTTTGGGC